GCTTGTAGGATCGCCGGTAGAACCCCGGAAGAAGCATCAATTTGGTTCAGTGCGGATGGGTCCGCACCAAGTGGTGCGGCAACAGAACAGGGCCCTGAGGACGCGTCACATGTCCAACACCGATCCCGTGAAATATCGGTGTGCAACATCTACAGTGTCTTCGCCATTTCGTGAAAGACATGTATCCCGTTGTCGTAAGTATGTCGCGAAATTCGTGCACACACATAAAACCCCAGATCGGATGGCTCAAGCAGACACATCGATCGTGCGATTGACAGCGCGGGAATCGATGTCGCGCAACCAGTTCCCGCCACGATCGAACGCCGTCGCATACCGTCGGCCACTTTCGATGTAGTAACCAGGCGACATCACAAACAGTCGGTGGGCTACACCTGCGTAAGGACGAAGCCTAGCGAGTGTTGTGCGACATGCCAGCGAAGTACGACTAATGCGCTCGCCGCTTTGGTGTACAGTTGGCATAAAGCACACCACTTGCTAAACCGGACGTGTCACACTTGGCTCGGGGAAGCAGCCAACACTGCTCCGGCAGATCGATTCCCCTTTTTAGTACGCGATGCACACAAACTCGGTGTTTGGAGCCGATCATACCCCGGTGTTGGACATGTGACGCGTCCTGACTTCGGACATGCTCCGTCAATGGATGCTCGTTTTTCGACACAAGAAACTCTCTCGTTTACACCTTTACTCACATATCAGATCGCCTTCCCCACTTCACTCTTGTACTTTTACTCAAAGATATTTCCTCGTCTCGTCTTATTATGAAGCACGCCACACCTCCCTTCACAGGTGTGATAAAACTCTCGTCACGTTGACGCACCCGTTGACTTGATCATTCGTAGTCTCGCGCAGTCGCATCGCAACCATGGCGCGTCGGAAGCAGGTTAACCCGTCTCGCAGTCGAGCATCGCGCGCCGCTTGCACATCATCCGATGTCGTTGAAGCTCAACCGTTAGATTTGGCAGTCTCCCACGTGTCTCCGGCACCCCTTTCCTCACCCACGCTTGTCGTTCCGCAAGTTGAAGGCAGTCAGCGCAGACCTGACGGCGATGGTAGCGGCGGCAGCCATCTAACCGGCCAATCCGACGGCTGGCGCATAATATGGGTCAAGCTAGGGGACCCTGAAGGTGCTGATGTCGCATTACTGGGACCATTCACACTGTCGCCGCATCCGAATCGCACTCCTCCTCCTCACGTTCTCAGCCAGCAACGCCGCAGCGGCTGCGCTGCCGCCCCGGCTTGCGGCGCCACGTCTACCGCGACGCCCGGTAGTGCCATACTCGATAGCGACATACCCGATAGCGAAATACTCGATAGTGGCGATCCGCTGGGTCGTCTAACCGTGCGCCGTGCGTTCATAGAGCAGCGCAGACGAGAGCGAGGAGGAGAAGGGGGCAGCGGCGAGGGACGGGCGAGGCTGCATGCGTGCTTGAGCGTGCGGGAGGGCGCGGGCGGCGAGCCTTCGCGCTCGCGGCCGTGTGGGCGCGCGCAGGTGCCGTGTGGGCGCGCGCAGGTGCCGCGGGTGCGCGCGGAGGACGTGGTGCTGCACGTGGTGCGCGCAGAGGAGCGCACGGGGGGACGTGCAGGGGAGCGCGCTGGGTGGAAGGCAAGGGGGAGGGATGGAAGGAAGGAAGGGGAGGTGTGCGAGGGGAGGGAGGAAAGGGTGGGAGGGGAGCGAGAGAGAGGGGAAGGGGAAAAAGGAAAGGACGAGGGAGAGGAGGGGGAGAAGAGAGAGGTGGGGAGAGGAGAGGAGGAGGGAGGGGAGGGGGAGAGAAGAGATGTGGGGAGAGGAGAGGAGGATGGAGGAGAGGGGGCGGAGATAGTGGTGTCTGTGAGGGCGAGTGAAGTGAGGCAGTTTCAGCATGCACGTACGGTGCAGGCCCTGCTGTACCTCGCAGAGAGGCACCTCGTTACTGTCACACCCCGCCTATTCGGTGCATGCCCAGCGGAAGCATCCCCAGCGGAAGCACCCCCAGCAGAAGCAGGTGCGCGGGCGTGTGGGTGCGTGTGGGTGGCGGTGGGCATCCCGCGCAGCCTCGCCCCGTCTCTGCCCCTACACGGCTTCCGCGCCCCTCTGCTCGCCCCGCTGCTCAACTCCGTGCGCCGCCCCTCCCATGCCCCCCACATGCGCGCCCTCATGGCCCGCCTCGCCCCGCACGCCCTGCCCCACGCCCAAATGCCTCCACATGTACATACACGTGCGCGCACATATGCGCGTTGTGAGGCGTCACAAGGTACACATGTGCACAGGCAGGAAGAGCACGGGGGTGCGGTGGAGGAAGCCTGTGGAAGTACGAGCCATGATGCTCGCACCGCCCCGCCTTGCGCCTGCCAGCCTGGACTTGATGCTCATGACGTGGCTCCTCCTGACGTGGCCGCTCATTTAGGTGGAGACGATGGAGGTAACAGGAAGAGAATACAGGAGGAAGGAAAGGGGAAGAGTGATGAGGGCAGTAGCACGGGCGTGGCAGTGGATGGTAGCAGTGGTGGTGCTGCTGGCTGTGCCTCGTCTTCTATTGCTGCTGGGGACAAGGGAGTGGCTGGTGCAGCGGAGGCGCGAGGGGGCGTGCATGGCAGGGTGCATGCGGGCAGCTGCTTTGACCTCGCTCAGCTGTACGCTGCTGTGCGTCCCAGCAGGTGCGTGGTGCCCTTTCCACCCATGCACATGCACTGCCCATGTGTCTTCTCTTCACCACCACTGCCTTCACCCACCCACTCACGTACTGCTCTCTTCTTCGCTCTTTCCAGGAACCTTCCACCCCTTGCCACGTGTCCTGCCGGCCTGCTGCCGGTGCTGCGGTCGTACCAGAGCCGGGCCGTGAGGTGGATGGTGCAGCGCGAGCAGGGCGCTCAGGGGGGGTGCAGGGAGGGCGAGACAGGGGGTCGTAGGGGTGGTGGGGGGGGGAATGCAGTGCAGCAGCGGCAGCATGGGGGGTGGTGGGGGGAGGGCCAGCACCCATTGTGGCGGCAGGTAGCAGCAGGCAGCGTCACCACTGACCCTTTCTCTGCTGGTGCTAGAGGAGAGGGGCGGCAGAGGAAGGCAGGCGCCACCAGTGACTCTTTGTCGCGCCTGCCTCACACCAGCACCGCCTCTGCTGCCATTCTTCTCTACAACCCCTTCCTGTGCGTGCTTCTGTGTGAGCCATTCCATAATTCCATGCTCGCCTCCCCCCCTGCTCGCCTCCCCCCCTGCTCGCCTCCCCCCCTGCTCGCCTCCTTCCCTCTGCGCCTCACCACCTGCTTGCCTGCCCGCCTGCTCGCCGGTCTGGTGCATGGTGTGTGAGAGGGGTGGGGCACGAGGTGGCTTGTCACCCCACTTGCAGCACGTGGGCGAGCCATCAGACTGTTAGGCCATCAGACTGTTGGGCCATCAGACTGTTAGGCCATCAGACTGTTGGGCCATCAGACTGTTGGGCCATCAGACTGTTGGGCCATCAGACTGTTAGGCCGTCAGCACGCTCCTGCATCCCCACCCCACCACCCGGTTCGGCACGTGGCAGACGCGTGTGTGTGGCGCATGTTAGACCAGGGGGAGTGCCGTCCCTCCTGCTTTTTCCTTGCTTTTCCTCATGCACCGTCTCACCCCACCGTCTCACCCCTCCTTTTTACAAACTGCCAAACCTTCTATCTCATCCCCATCCCCATCTCCATCGCCATGCCCGTCTCCATCGCCATTCCATCCCTGCCCTGTATGCCCCCTGGCCAGAGGCACATTCGTTCGTCTTCCCCCTCCATTGCGTGTGCAAGGGCTGGGAGGCAGCTGCAGGGGAAAGAGGCAGGGGCGCATGGGGGGGAGAGGGGCGGCGGGGAGATGCATCGAGTTAGCTCCTCTTTGGGTCCAGGTTCAGTGAATACAGACTTGGCAAATCTAGGGGTCACCTGTCCAGATATAGTGAATGCAGGCTCGGCAAGCCCAGGTTTGGCAAGTGCAGGCACGGTGGGTTCGGGTACGAACCCAGGTATTATGAGCCCAGGTTCGGTGAGCCTTGGTTCGGTGAGTCCTGGATTGGAGAGTCCAGGTTTGGCGAGCCTAAGTCCAGTGAACGCAGGTTCAGGAAGTGGTGTGTGCGGGTGGGTGGGTGCGGTGGCGGGGGCAGTGAGGGGCGGCATTGTGGCGGAGGAGATGGGGCTGGGGAAGACCGTTGAGGTGCTTGCCTGCATCCTCTCCCACCGCTGGCGGGGCAGTGGGGGCGAGGGGCAGGAAGAGGAGGGAGAGGAAGGGGCGTTGCAAGGAGAGTGGGTGAGAACGGGAAAACGTGGGAGAGAGGAGGTGGAAGAGGAAGAGGTGGTGGGGAAGAAGAGGGAAGTTCTGACGGGTGTACAGGGAGTGGTGGAGAGGAGAGGAGGGGAGATACAGGAGGAGGTTGAGCAGAGGCGAAGGAGCAGCAGGAGGCGCAGTGGCAGCTTTGCGGGCAGCAGCAGCGGCATCAGCAGTGGCGCAGAGGCATCAGCAGCACAGGGGACGAGGGGAGGGGCAGAGACAAGCGCGGGAGGGCAGGCAGAGCAGCAAGGAGCGGCAATGGAGGGGCCTTTGGAGGGCGTGACATGGTGCAAGGGGCAGCGGACGCAAAGGGGGAGAGAAGGGATGAGAGGGAACGGGCGGATGACGGGCGGTGGGGGTTGTGAGGATCTTGGGGGTGCAGGAGGGGAGGAGGAGGAGGAGGAAGAAGATAAGAAGATCAGGAAGAGGAAGAGAGGGAGGGGGGGCTGTGATGGGACGGCAGCAGGGAGCAGCAGGGGGCGTGGTGGTGGTGGGCAGGTGGGGGGGGAGGGAGGAGGGGAAGGGGCGGGGGAGGGCATCGAGGGAGGCGAGTTGCGGGAGTGTGGGAGCACGCTGATCGTGTGTCCAGCGGCCATCCTCCCCCAGTGGCAGCAGGAGGTCGTGCGGTCAGTCCTGCCTGCCTGCCTGCCCATTCTGTTCGTTGCACGAATCATTTTTTATTACCTTTGATTGTTGTGGTCCCTTGTTCTTGGGTGTAAGCATGCCTCGTCTCCTCTTACCCTGTCCCTGCCACTCTTCGTGCATGCACTGCCACTCTTCGTGCATGCACTGCTTCGTTCATCGGGCCACACTCCCCCTACTCTCCCCTCACACCCCTGCGCCCACCAGGCACACGCGGCCCCACACAGTGGCCGTGCTGGTGTACCGCGGTGTCAACAGCCCCGCTCTGCGCCTCTCCTTCCGCCCCGCCCCTACCTTGGCCCCCCACGCTCCCCTCACCTCACCCCCTCAAGCCGTGGCCTTGGAACGGGACCAGTCCTCTTCCACTCCCCTCACCTCGTCCCCTGCCTCTCCTCCCGTTGCCTCCTCCGAGTCTCCTCTCACTGCATCGTCTGCCACAGCTGGAAGGGTGGGAGAGTGTGGTGGGGGGGAGGGGATGGCAGGAGATGGCGGGTGGAGGGGCGGAGGAGAGGATGGGGATGGCAAGAGGCGGGTGGATGGAGAGGGCAGTGAGGGAAAGGGTGGCGTGGGTAGAAATGGGAAATGCGGGGATGGCAGCGGATGGAGGGATGGGGAGAGAGTGTGTGCAGGAGGCAGGCAAGCAGTGCAAGGGAGTAGAGGAGGGCTGGGTGGGGGACGAGATGGGGGAGGAAGGGACGGAGGGGTGGTTGGCGGTGAGGGGGAGTTGGAGGCGGTGTGGGAGGAGGTGGGTGTGGTTACTGCTGATGACCTGGCAGCTGCTGACATCGTGCTGACGTCGTACGACACGCTGCGTGGCGACATCTGGCACGATGTGGGTGGGCAGGGACACGTGGCAACAAGGCAGCTGCGATACGAGAAGAGGTGCGCAGGAGGGGTGTGACGCTGGGTGCGAGTGTAAGGGGGGCGCAGGAGGGGTGTGACGCTGGGTGCGAGTGTAAGCGCAGGAGTGGGGAGTGTGGCTGAGGGGTGGGGACGTGAGGGGATTGTGGGGGATTGCGAGTGCATGTGTGCATGCGTGCATTGAAGGAACGGGGGGCCTGGAAGCTGAAGAGGATAGGGGTTGGGAGAGCACCTCTTCCCACGCCTTCCCACACCTCCCAACCTTTCTTGCCTCTGCCCACCTCTCCGACCACCATATCCCCCGCCAGGTACCAAATCCGCCCCACGCCACTGACGCGCCTGCACTGGTGGCGGGTGTGTCTGGACGAGGCGCAGCTGGTGGAGGGGAGAGCCTCCAGAGTCGACTTGAAGTCGCCTCCCTCCATACCCTTCTCCCCCCCTGCCAGGTATCGAATCCGCCCCACACCGCTAACACAGCTGCGGTGGTGGAGGGTGTGTCTGGATGAGGCGCAGCTGGTGGAGGGCGGAGCGTCCAACGCGGCCCTCATGGCGGCCCGCCTGCCAGCGCGCCTCCGCTGGTGTGTCTCCGGCACGCCGCTGCACCGGGGGCTCTCGGACCTGCTCGGCCTGCTTCGGTTCCTCCGAGCCTCGCCGTTTGACGAGCCGCACTGGTGGCGCCACTTCTTCCAGCTTCCCATCCAGGTCCGCCCGCGAGACACACTGCTGCTGATGGTATGCGCGAATGGTGTGGATATTGGGATGGATATTGGGATGGATATTGGGATGGATATTGGGATGGATATTGGGATGGATATTGGGATATATGGATGGATATTGGGATGGATATTGGGATGGATATTGGGATGGATATTGGGATGGATATTGGGATGGATATTGGGATGGATATTGGGATGGATATTGGGATGGATATTGGGATGGATATTGGGATGGATATTGGGATGGATATTGGGATGGATATTGGGATGGATATTGGGATGGATATTGGGATGGATATTGGGATGGATATTGGGATGGATATTGGGATGGATATTGGGATGGATATTGGGATGGATATTGGGATGGATATTGGGATGGATATTGGGATGGATATTGGGATGGATATTGGGATGGATATTGGGATGGATATTGGGATGGATATTGGGATGGATATTGGGATGGATATTGGGATGGATATTGGGATGGATATTGGGATGGATATTGGGATGGATATTGGGATGGATATTGGGATGGATATTGGGATGGATATTGGGATGGATATTGGGATGGATATTGGGATGGATATTGGGATGGATATTGGGATGGATATTGGGATGGATATTGGGATGGATATTGGGATGGATATTGGGATGGATATTGGGATGGATATTGGGATGGATATTGGGATGGATATTGGGATGGATATTGGGATGGATATTGGGATATATGGATGGATATTGGGATGGATATTGGGATGGATATTGGGATGGATATTGGGATGGATATTGGGATGGATATTGGGATGGATATTGGGATGGATATTGGGATGGATATTGGGATGGATATTGGGATGGATATTGGGATGGATATTGGGATGGATATTGGGATGGATATTGGGATGGATATTGGGATGGATATTGGGATGGATATTGGGATGGATTGTGGGGATGAACGGATATGGGGCTGTGACGGCATTTGAAGGGTGAGTGATGGTGAGTTGGCACACCTGACCCATGAGGATTGGGATAAGTATGAGAGAGTGACACTTGGGCCAGTCCCCTCTGGTGGGCCAATGTAATGTTAACTGTTCCCTGCGCTCTACTCCACTGTTCCCTTTGCCTTCCCTGACCTCTCGCTTTCAACCCCCACATCATTTTCCCCTTCACTCCGCCCCTCCCTCTCTTTCTCCCATCACCTTCTGCTGCTGCAATGCCACGTCAGAATGGCTGCGTGGCAGCATGGAACGCACTCCTGGCCCTCATGTCGCAGCTGATGTGGCGCCATCACAAGGCTGACGTGGCAGACGAGCTGGCGCTGCCACCTCAGCGGCAGCTGCTGACGGTGCTGCGGTTCAGCGCCATCGAGGCGCACTTCTACCGCCAGCAGCACGCCAAGTGCGCCCAACGCGCCTCCAGCATGCTGCGCTCCGTGGCACGCGGGGGACGGAGGGGCGGAGGTGGGAAGAGCGGAGGAGCAGGAGGAGGAGTAGAGCGAGTGAGATCAGATGAGGGAGGCGGTGGGGATGGTGCAGATGAGGAGGGGGGGCAGCAGCAGCAGCAGCAGCAGCTGGTGCTGGGGTCGCGGTCATTGGCGGGTGCATATCGGGGCGACATGGAGCGGTTCCTGGCGTCGCTGCTGCTGCTGCGCCACGCCTGCTGCCACCCTCAGATTGGCTCCGGTGGGCTCAGGCCGCTGGGCTCCCACGGCCGCCCCATGCACATGGACGAGGTGCTGCAGGTGCTGGTGGAGAAAGCACGTGTGGAGGCGGAGGAAGCCCAGCGCCTGCTCATCTCCGCACTCAACGGCCTCGCTGCCCTCGCCGCCATCCACGCGCCCGCCCTCCCCCTCCGCTCCTCCTCGCTACCCGTCTCTTCCTCCTCCGCTCGCTCTCATCTCCACACTGAGAACAGCAGTGAGCAGTGGCGGGCGGGGGCGGCGCAGGCGGTGAGCATTTACCGCGACGTGCTCCGTCTCATGGATGGGGATGGCCCCGCGGATGGGGATAGGAATGGCGGGAGGGCAGGCCACGGCCATGGGGATGAGGAGGCAGGGAGGGGACGAGATGGGGATGTGGATGGGGATGGTGGGGAGGAAGGCAGAGAGAACAGGTTGTCTGTGGTTCGCCCCCCCTCACATGGCAGTGTGCTGCGCACGGACCCCCTGCAGCGCCTGCACGTGCTGCACAACCTGCATGCGCTGCTCGCGCTGCTGCACACTGCCAGGGATGGAGAAGGGACAGGAGAGGGTGGGCCTGGGTGCAGTGCGGTGGAGCCCGGTGGTGATGGAGCAGGGCTGGGTGTGGCGCGGACACTAAGGGATGGACGGCTGGAGGCAGAGAGCGGTGAGGTGAAGGAGCGGTACTTGGCTCCCGTGAGGTCCCGCGCTGCTGCTGCTCAGAAAGCCTTCGAGGAGACACACGCTCAGGTGGGTTGGGTTGGGTTGGGTTTGGTGCGAACATTCACTCAGAGACGCGTGGCTGGAGGAGGAGAGCGGTGAGGTGAAGGGGCGGTACCTGGCTGGCGCCTGTGAGGGTGCGCGCTGCTGCTGATCAAAGGGCCTTCGAGGACACTCACTCTCAAAAATAAAAGGGGATGTGAAGAGAGAAGCACATGAGATAGTCTACTGTCATTACAGCCCATGTGAGACCATGCTATGGAGTTGAGCCACGGTTATCACGGTCACGTCGTCACGTCATTGCCATGGCAACGATACTAGTGCCAGCGCTTATTGCTTCCTGCTGGAGTGCCCCGTCATGCCCGCCACTGTTTGATGCTTTGCCTTGTCTTCCCTTCACCTGCCTTCAGGTGGAGGCCCATCTGGCGGCCGCCCGCCTCTCCACCACCACCACGCCCTGGTGGCTCTCGCTCCTCACCGCACTTCACTCCTCTGCACCGCCCGGCATGGCGGAGAGTGTCACGGCACGCCTGCACCGTGCACTACTGGACGACGATCACCGCCCGGCTCACACCCACAACATGGCCAGCCTTGGACTCAGGTGCGCTTGTCCTCTGTCCCAAGTGTGCCTCCCTCAGATGTGCCTTCCTCGGATGTGCCTCCCTCAGATGTGCCTTCCTCGGATGTGCCTCCCTCAGATGTGCCTCCGTCAGCTGTGCTGCGGCGTTTGCTCTGCACGCTGCATTGGCTGCACCGGCTGATGGCAGCCAGAGAACCCCCCCTTCTCCATTATTCCCCAACCCAACCTCCCTTACTCTCACCCCCCCTTTTGCAGGTTCCGCACGCTGCACGGGTTGAGGCTGGTGCTGGCGGGGGAGGTGGACTCGCTGCTGGCGAGCAGGCGGGAGGTGCTGCAGCGCGTGCTGCAGGCGGGGGGGCAGGTGGCGGCGCAGGGCGTGCAGGGCAGCCTGGTCGCACAGGCCGGCTCGTGTGCTCGCTGCTGTGCCGGGCAGGAGGGGGAGGAGGGGGTGGAGGCAAGGGGGGCTGGGGGATTGTTGGTTGGAATGGGTGTTGAGGGGTGTACGGAAGGGAGTGCGGGGGATGAGTGCTGCATGCACTGCAAGACACAAGAGTTCTTTGAGGTGAGGCGGCTGTAGGATTCGATCAGGTTAATTGGTATAAAGAACATGTTTCTACCAGGTCTTTGTGTCCAGTGCCTATAATATCAGGGTAAAACACCATGATTTCCCTGATTTCAAGGTAATGCTACCTCCACTTCCCTGGAATTTCAGAATGTTTGTAGTGAAAGCCCTGAAAATCATGATATATGATTTATATCACCCTGCGATTTCAGAGTGTTCTACACCCCCCTGCCCTGAGGCCTTAGGGTGTTTCCTTTCCAACCCTGATACAGTCACAATATGCGCGTAGAGAGGCCTACGGGTGAAATCCTTGATTTCCGTGATTTAGCACCGAAATCATGCGAGTTGCCCCCCCACCATACAGACTTGCGACAAAAGTGCCCACTCGGGACAACTTACAACGATGTAGCAGGCGGCGCACGCACCTGCCCGGCGTGCCATCGTCCATCCGATGCGCTAGGATCGGGCAACCCTTTCTTAACACCGCCCTCCATGTCGCAGAAACAACAGCCTCAAATCTTGTTCTCTCGCCTACCATACCTGGTCCTTTCGACCACACGCCAACATTGGTAACTTAGTCTGTTCAACCACCAAAACAGGCCCTGCTGGCGAGCCGTCGTCCCCCCTCGTGGCGACGTCCAGGTCTCATCCAGTAATGCGGATGGGCCCGGGAACATTGCGGAAGTTTGGCACGCAGCGGTTTCGTCAAACTCAACTGTCGTCCGATCAAGCTTGCGCACTCAATTCCCCCGCTACTACAACACTGCCCCCGATTGCTAGCTCGTCAAATCCTGCGACCTCGTCATCCTCTTCTTTGCCGATTGTCAATGAGGTCGAATTGAAGTATTAGGATGCTTTATATCGGTTCACCAAAGGATGGAGCCAAGATTTTCCATGGCTTGTGTTGTGTTAAACACCTTTCGGCCTCTCTTCTGTCAAGTGCAGTGTGTGTTTATAACATGGCGCAGGAACTAACTTTGGCAGTGGTGAAGATGGTGCAGTTGATGTGCAGGCTCAGGCTTTTCGTGCGCACCAGAGAACGACGAAGTTTCGCCGAGCAATAAAGAATCAAGAAATTGTTGAAACGAAGGCAAAGGGGCAGCCACGGCTGGATGACTGTCCAACGACGTACAACGTTGAAAAAAGCGAGTGATCACTCGATCTTTTTCAATGTCGTAAGTCGTTGGACAGTCATAGTGCCGTGGCTGCCCCTTCGCCTTTCCTTTCAACAATTGCTTTATGCTTCATTGCTCGGCGATGCTTCGTCGTTCTCAGGTGTGCACGGAGAACTTGAATCCGCACATTAACTGCATCATTCTCGCCACGGTTACGGTTGGTTGTATCTCCATGTTCCATACACACACTGCACTTGACAGAAGGGAAGTCGGACGGCGTTTGATACAACACAAGCAATGGAAAATCTTGGCTCCATTCTTTGGTGAACCGATACGAGGCATCTTGGTACTTCAATTTGGCCTCGTCGACAATCGACAGAGAAGAGGACGACGAGATCGTAAGATTTGACGGCAACCAAGGGCAGTGTTGTAGTAGCAGGAGAATCGAGTGCGCAGGCTTGATGGAACGAAAGTTGGGCTTGACGAAACCGCTGCGTGCCAAGCTTCTGCGATGTTCCCAGGCCCATCCTCGTGCTGGATGGGGCCTGGACGTCGCCACGAGGGGGAGCGACGACTCGCCAACAAAACCCGTATCGGTGGTTGAATAGAGCCGACTTACCAACGTTGGCATGTGGTCGAAAGGACCAAGTATGATAGACGAGCGAACAGGAGTTGAGGCTGTTGTTTTTGCGACACGAAGTGCAGCAGTAAGAGAGGGTTGCCCGATCTCAGCGCATGAGACGGATGATGGCACGCCGGGCAGGTGCGTGCGCACCATATTTACGATAGTGACTGAGGGGTACAAGAAATCAAGGCCCGTTAAACCACGTGGTATGTTGTTAACACGATCGGTTGCTGTTTGTGAAATCAGGGTGTTTCTCCTTGATATCATAGGCCCTGGTGCCAAGCGATGTGTGCCAAGCGCTTGGCGTGCGCACGTGCTGCCATATGATGCGGTTTCTACGCTACGAGATGGGAGTCACTTTTGAGAATTCTCAAAAGTGCAGGCACGCACGCACTTGGCATTGAACCATGTCCTCCTTCCCTGCAGGTGCTGCCATGTGATGCGGTTTCTGCGCTGGGATACCATCAATCTCAATTGCAGTGGTGGAAGAGATTGCCGTCTGACCCTGTGCCATGTCCCGCAGGGACTGCACTTTTTCCTACTCACCAGTATAGGCTGATTACGTTAACAAGCGCAAGCACTGAGGGTACAACCCAGTGAGGATTGGTCTACGGCTGAGGGGGCAGTCAGTCTGGGGGTTGGGCTTGTCGTAAGTCGAGCCAAGCCCGCTCGTTGACGTCCAGCATGCCTCGAAGACATTAAAATGGGTTTTTTTTTTTTTTTTTTTTTTTTTTTTGGCAAAAAATGCAAAGAAGTAACCTTAGAATGAGTACTAATTGGAAACCATTTATAACAAAGCTTCACCGCATCACAGTGATGAGCCCGCTCAAACCGCCGAACCATGGCGCGTTTCCCCCCCTCCCACCGTCCACTATGTCAATCTCTGATCCCTCGTTCCATAAATCTTCCTTCTTGCCAAACCCCCCATCCCGTCCCCCCCCCGCCAGAGTTACCAGCGACGCCTCTTCCACCTGCGCCTCTCGTCCGCCCCTCCCTCCCTCCCCGCCTCCTCCCCCTCCGACCACCCTGACCCTCCCCTTCACCCCTCCTCGCCGCACAACCCCCTCCACGTCCTCCACTCCACCCTCGGCGTGCGCCGCACCCCGCTTGCTGCAGCAGGGGGGCAGGGTGGAAGGGGGAGGGGCAGCAGGGGCGAGGAAGGCGGTGGGGCAAGTAAGGCAGGGGAGAAAGGAGGGACGGTTGTGTGGAACCCGTCTGACACCGAGAGGTGCCTTGCTGTGCTGGCTTTTGTGCTGCGATCGCTGCCACGTGGCATTATTCCAGAGGACGAGCAAGCCAGCCTGGCAGCTGCGGCGTCCAGCTCGTTGGAGGCTCTGGAGGTGAGGCGAGAGGGGCTGCACGTCTGGATGTCTTCTTCCAGTCTGCCGTGCCAGGTTCAGTTGTTGATTGTCATGGTGAGAGTTGTTTCCAGAGTGAACTTCGACTCTCCATGCATGGCACGGTTTCTTCTCGTCTTCCTTTGCGGTTCTCTCATCTCTTCCATTTGCCTCGCACTCTCATCCATTCCCCATGCCTCTTCACTCTCAGTCGCCCCTCCATGCCTCAGTACCTCTGTGTGCCCTCTGCTGCTGCTCCCCTCCCCATGCACCAGGCAATGCGGCAGGAGTTCCTGGTAGCGCGGGCGTGGTCGGGGGCGCAGAGGGGAGTGCTGCGAGCACTGGACGAGCTGCACATGGTTCTATGTGCCGCTGTGCTGTGCGGCCCCCTTCCCTCCGTTGCTGCTCCCCTCCCCGCATACCAGGCAATGCGGCGGGAGTTCCTGGTAGCGCGAGCGTGGTCGGAGGCGACTTTTAAGTCAACTGAAAAGTCATCTTGCTTCTGTTGCTCCCCTCCCCGCGCACCAGGCCATGCGAAAGGAATTCCTGGTGGCGCGAGCATGGTCGGAGGCGCAGAGGGGGGTGCTGCGAGCGCTGGACGAGCTGCACATGGCCGTCACGCGAATAACGCTGCGCCACGTGGACGAGCCGCCAGCTGCCACGTCAGCAGCAACGCGCATGGCGCGCGTGAGTGAGGAGGAGGTGGCGGCGCTGAGCGTGGTGCTGACGCATGACAGGCTGGCAGCTGATGCTCAGCTGCAGGCCAGCCGCGCCCAGCTGAGGTACCTGCGCGGACTGGCTTCTGCTAGACGGCGCGTGGTGCGAGGAGGGGGAAGCATGGGGACAGAGATGGGTGGAGCTGGGGGGGATGGGAGAGGGAGCGAGAAGGTTGGGAATGGGGGGAGCGGTGGAGTAGAGGAGGGGGAGGAGGGGGAGGAGGAGAGTTGCCCTGTGTGCAGGGAGGCATTGGGCAGTGAGCTGTCGGTGCTGCCATGCGGGCATCTGCTGTGCTGCAAGTGTGAGTGCTCTCCATCCGTTTCATCCCTCACCCTATCATCTCTCACCCTATCATCTCTCACCATGTTATCTCTCACCATGTTATCTCTCACCATGTTATCTCACCATTCCGTACCACCATGTCAACAATTTCATCCCACTGTGTCATGTCAGCGTTTGGTCCCACCACCATGTCAACTCTCCATATCATTATATTCCGTTTTATCCCAACATTTCATTCATCCCTGCAGGCACATGTTTGCTGGTAGAGAGGTCCCCTCAAGCCACCACCACCGCCAGCAGCACCAACAGGGAGCGACGCATGCGGTGCCCCACATGCCGCCACGTGGCAAGGGCATCTGAGATCGCCTACGTGGACAATCGCAGGGACCACCATGGGTACCCTGCTGCTGCCCTGCAGGTGAATGAGAGGTCAGGTGGCGAGGGATTGGATTCGGTTGGAAGCGGTGGGCACCGTACTGGTCCCTGCCATTGCGGTTCAACAATGTCATCGACATCATCAGCAGCAGCAGGAGCACTGTCACATTGCAGCATGGAGGCACGCCGTTGCTCCTGTCGCAGTACCTGCAGTGGTGGGGGCGGTGGATGGAGGGAGGGCGAGGAGCAGGAGTTGCCAGATGAAGTACAGATGCAGGAGGAGCACATGAGCCTTCACACAGGCTTCGGCACCAAGGTACGCACTGTGGTGCTGAGGTGCAAAGCTACTGATACGTTCTGAAGGTACTACATCGTTCACGAGGTCACCTGCTGAATCACCAATTCACTGCTGCTGCGCCAAGTTACTGCTGTTCCATGTTACTTACTTCCAATCATACGTTTCCTTACCTTCGTCTGTCCTACGCCTATGCCACTCCATGCCAACCCAATGCCACCCATGTACATCATTCCAGCTGGATGCGGTAACGAGGCGGGTGTTACGGCTACTGCGCAGCGACCCATCAGCGCGCATCATCATCTTCAGCGCGTGGAGGGAGGTGCTGCTGCTTGTGCAGCACTGCCTGCACGCCAACGCCGTCCCCACCGCCTGCGCCTTCTCCCACCGGTGCACCGCCCCCTTCCTCTCCCGCTCTCTCGCCCTTTCCCACCCTCCCTCCCTTTCCTCCCTACCCTCCCCCCACACACAAACGCTTTGCTCCGCTCGCCTTTACCTTGCTGTTTTTGCTCCTTTCGATATAGCGTGTAATCCATGTGAGGGAAACCGTTCGCGTTCCTGTCTGTTTTTGTCATTCGAGTCATTACAGTTTAAACCACCATTTTCGTCCATCTGCCACCACGATGCCTCCTCTTGACCACCTCACACCTGTTTCAAACCCTCTGTTTGTTATGCCATCCTCCATATTTGTACCTACCCCTCCAGGGAGGTGCCTCCGGCATTGAAGCGCTTCAGAGAGGCCGCTCCCCCAGCAGCCCTTTCTGCCCGCCCCTCCCATAAGCCCCGCTCGAAGCGCCGCAAGCACTCCCTCGCCTCTCCCCTGCCACCTGCCATCCCACCGGCCGCTGCTGCAGCAGCCGCTGCCACAGGCGGGGCAGCGGGGGCAGAGAGCAGTGCGCAAGGCGGGGAGGGTGGTGGAAGGGAAGCGGGAGAAGGTGGGGGCGGGGGAATTGGGGAGCAGTGCCGAGTGCTGCTGCTGGTTTTGGCGGTGGGGGGCAACGGGCTGAACGTGGTGGAGGCGCAGCACGTGGTGTTTGTGGAGCCGGGGCTCAATGCGGCCGCTCAGGCACAGGCTGCCAACCGCGTGCACCGCATCGGCCAGACCCGACAGACCTTTGTGCACCGCTTCATTGTGAGTTATGTGCACCGCATCGGCCAGACCTGCCCCGCCTTCCTGCACCGCTTCGTGGTGCGTGGGGTGATGCGTTGTCAGGCAGGTAGTGCATTACGTTGTGAGCCCCCCCCTCGCTTTCACTGCCTGCTGGTGCACAGCACGGTGGAGGAGCCCATTTGCGAGGTGTGTTTGAGGCGACTCAAGAGTCAACTGCTTGCCTTTCCATGAATCCGTTGCACTTTCCTCATCTCTGCATGCCTGCAGGTGCACGGCACGGTGGAGGAGCCCATTCACGCCCTCGCACGCTCCAAAGCCGCTGCTTCCCCCCTCGCCGCCGCCCACAGTGTCGCGAGTCCTCTGTCCTGCCGGGACCGTGACTCGCTCACCCTCGCTGACGTCACCGCTCTCTTCCCCCAGGCCTGACCTGCTGGGGATGCCAGGATGGTGGAGGAACGGGTAGTGGCGATGAGGGGTGGAGCAGAGGGGGATGCGGGCAGGGAGGACTGTGAGAGGCTTGCTCTGGCTGCTGCTGCTGCCGCAGAAGCACGGATGCAAATACAGCCTGAGTGACACGTATCGTGGTTCATGTATGCAAAAGGTCTTCAATCACAACACACCGAACATTTTTCCAGTCAGGGAACATTCCGCTCAGGACATGTCACAAAAGAAAATGTCACAAACGTATTTGTTACTAATTGTGAAACTCCAAAATCAATGTTCGTGACTAATTGTGATACGCCGAAAACAATGTTCGTGACTAATTGTGATACATCAATAGCATAATTGTGACTTATTGCGAAACTATGAACAGTCACGATTTAGCCAGATGTCTTATCAGGAGTGGTTGGATAATTTCTGTTCATGATTTTCGGCGTATCACAATTAGTCGCAAATATGATTTCGGTGTTTCAAAATTAGTCACAAATACCTTTGTGACACTTTCTTTTGTGACATGTCCTGAGCGGAATGTACCAGTTGGGACATGAGGCGCCAAACTGCATTCGATCAGTAGGCGTCGCACAAATATCACACAAGTAAAGCGCGCATGTGCAACAGATGCCAATCAAGGCCTCAGATTCGTTTTGGCCTAGGCTGAAAAATCAGAGTTGGTACAAAACTGTCAAATGTTGGTAGCCTGTAGTGAGATGTGTCTTTGGGGGTACGTATGTTAGGGTTTGCTACTTGTACCCCAACCACCATCAATGAAACAACACTTCCGATCTTGAGATGGTATCACCTAGGTTAGGATCCTGTAGGATCCCGTTCCTCCCGACCTCGTTCGTATCGCCCGAGCCTGTCTCCCTCTCTCGTATTACTTACGCACGTCTTGCCCGAGCCTAGCGCCGGCCCGCTCTCGTCCCGTTCCTTCGTTACCGCCCGTTCCGCCGATCCCCTACTCGAGTAGCGTAGCGACCTTCCTCCCCCCTGCTGGCCCATCGCGTTTTCCCCCCTCCGAGGCCCGTCGAGTCGCGTTTCCCCCCTTGCTGCCCGTCGAATCGCGCTCTCCCCGCCCGTCGTCCCGTCGCCCGTCCCCCCCTTACGCGCGCCACCGCTGCGCATTCCCCCGTCGCCCGCCGCAGCCTGCGCCCGTCGCCGCGGCGCCCGCCGTCGCTGCCCGCCGCGGCGCCCGACGTCGCGCCCGCAGCCTGCGCCCGTCGCCGCGGCGCCCGCCTTCGCTGCTCGTCGCGTCGCGCGCGCGACTGCTCTTAGCCCCCGCGCGGCTCCCCCTTAACGTCCGCCCCCGCGCCCGCGCGGCTGCCCTTAGCCCCCGCGCGGCTGCCCCTTAACGTCCGCCCCCGCGCCCGCGCGGCTGCCCTTAGCCCCCGTGCGGCTGCCCCTTAACGCCCCCCCCCGTTTAGCTGCGCCTCTACCTCGTTTAGGGTTTCACGCTTCGCCCTTTGCCCGCCCGATTTTCGCCACGCCATCTCGTTTAGGGTTTCCTGCCTCCGCTTTTCCGTCGGTTTTAACGATGGCGACTCCGCGTGTTCTTCGCTTCGACGCTGACGGTAGACCCCTTGACTTTTCGCTCTGGCTTCTGCGCGCTCGCCGTCAGTTGGAGAGTCAGGTCCAGTCAGGCGAGACCCTCTGGGCGCACGCTGCTGGTGCCCTCCCTGCGCCCCCCGACCCTACGCCTTTAGGTCCTGCCCCTGACGACGCCGCTAGAGCTCGCTTCGCTAGCCAGCGCGCTGACCTGACAGCCTGGACGTCGCGTGACGCTGCGGCCTGCATCGCGCTCAGCACCCTTCTCCCCGAGTCTGAGGAGGCTCACTTTGCTCAGGTTCGCACTGCTGCTGAGTACCTGACTGCGATTAAGGCCCGCTACTCCACTCCTGCTGCTGTCTCTCTTGGCCGCCTTTTCCTCCCGTTCCTGTTCCCTGATCTCGCCTCTTTTGAGCGCTCTGCTGACTTGATTGCTCACCTCCGCTCGCTCGACTCTAGTTACCGCGCTGCTTGCACTGAGGCCCAGCTCGCACTGCTTCCTCCTCCCATGGCGATTACTATCTATTTTATCGCCACCAGCCTCCCCGACCGCCTTGCCTCCGTTCGTGACGCGCTTCTCCTGAAGCACCCTAGTGAGCTCACTGTTGACGTCCTTGAGTCTGCTCTCAAGGACGTCGAGAGCAACCTCCGCTCCGTCGCCGCTGCCTCTGGTGCTGTGCCCCCTCCGCTCTTCCACGGGTGCACAGTTCCGCAGTTGCCCACCTTTACTGCCTCTCTCGCCACTGCCGCTACTGACGCGACCGCAGCTGCTGTTACGACTTCGTCGCGGTCCCGCGGTAGGGGTGGCAAGAGGGGCGGTGCTGGTGGCGGCGTTGGTGGAGGCGGAGGTAGTGGGGGTGGCGTTGCGACTGGCGGTGGTGGGAGTGCAGGGCCTGGAGAGACGTCTCGTGCAGCGACCGGTGACTCCACTGCGACTGCTGGTGGTGGCGACGCCCGCGTTCGTCAGTCGCCCCCTGTACTGCCAGCCCCGGTGGGTGGGGCAGCGGCGTGGTACCGGGCCCAGCGTCAGCAGCAGCTTCAGCAGCAGCAGCAGCCCCTCTCCTCCCAGCAGCCTCCGCAGCAGCAGCGGCCGCAGCTGGCTTCGGGGTCGGGGCCGCGTCAGCCGCAGCGTGGTGCTGTTTACCCTCCCTGCGCCTATCAGGTTCTGACAGGTGCTCGCCGGGGCCACCCTTGTGGCCGCCTTCACCCCCCTGGTCAGTGTTTTGCTCAGCTCACTGACACGGTTCGTTTGGTTTACGGGGTTGGCGGTCCTGCCCCTGACTGGTTCCCCCTTGTTCAGCGTTACGGTTCCGCTCTGTGGGACATGTCTGCCGAGCAGTTAGCTGATCTGATTGGAACTCCTCATGCTATGTATGCTGTTGTTGACTCTAGTGTTTCTGACTCTGTTTACTCTGGTGTTGTTAGCTTAGGTGCTAGCCTTGCTCAGTTGCCTGTTGCTAGTGTAGGTTCTTGTGTAGACACTAGTCCAGCGGCTACCTCGGAGGACACTTCACTGTCTTTCACGCTGGACTCTGGAGCCTCGCACTGCTTCTTTCGTGACAGCACGACACTTACGCCACTTCCTGCGCCTGTCTCTGTGGCACTGGCTGATCCCACCTCGGGACCAGTCACTGCACGTCACACTACCACTTTGCCGTGTCCTGCTGCCCCCTCCGGGTCTCTCACTGGGTTTCATGTCCCCTCGTTCTCCCGGAACTTGGTGGGCGTGCGACCCCTCGTGAGTCAGCACGTGGGTGTGTGGTTTGAGCCTTCTGGGGAGACTGCAGTGTGTGTTGACGGTGACTCTTACCAGCCTCTCGCCACCTTTGCTGCTGAGCCGGGTTCCGGTCTCTACACTCTTCACACTGGCCCGCGCGCACGGCAGTGGACGCAGCAGCAGCAGCAGCAGCAGCAGCAGCAGCAGCAGCAGCAGCAGCAGCAGCCGCAGCGGCCGCCGTCGCAGCAGCCCCTACTCCCAGTTCCTGTCCCTCCCCCTAGTCTCCTCCCTGCGTCTCACCAGGTGGTTCCGTCCCCTCAGGTTGTCGCGTCCAGTCCAGTCGCTGCGTCTTGCTCCTGTCGGTCGCTTGCCCACCCCACCGTTCTGTGGCACCACCAGATGGGACACCCTTCTCTTCCACGTCTGCGTGCTATGTCTAGTCAGCGTCTGGTCTTAGGTCTCCCGCGTGTCTTGCCGTCGCTGCCGCCGTCTCTTGCACCACCGTGCGGTCCTTGCGTCGAGGGTCGGCTGCGCGCCACCCCTCACTCCTCCTCCCTTCATCCGGCCACCGAGCCGTTTGAGACGCTTCACCTAGATGTCTGGGGCCCCGCCTCTCGCCTTGGCCCTGAGCGTGAGCGTTTCTTTCTGGTGGTTGTTGACGACTACTCCCGCTACACCACGGTGTTCCCCCTGGCGAAGAAGTCTGAGGTGACTTCTACGCTGATCAGGTGGTTGCTCACCACCGCGGACACTCGTGGTCGTCGTGTCAGTTGTCTTCACTCTGACCGCGGGGGTGAGTTTCGCTCCGGCATTCTCGCTGGATTCTGTCGCGAGCAGGGCATTCGTCAGTCCTGGACGCTTCCAGAGTCCCCGCAGCAGAATGGGGTTGCTGAGCGCCGCATAGGCTTGGTCATGGAGATCGCCCGCACCTCCCTGACTCACGCCCGTGCCCCCCATTTTCTGTGGCCTTACGCGGTTCGGTACGCCGCGCACCAGCTGAACCTCTGGCCACGCGTCTCTCGGCCAGAGGCTTCACCGACCAGTCTTTGGACCGGGTCCCCTGGTGTTGCGTCGAGGTTTCGTGTCTGGGGTTGCTTGGCTCTTGTCCGCGACACCTCTGCGGACAAGCTCTCGCCTCGCGCCGTCCCCTGTGTCTTCCTTGGTTTCCCTGAGGACTCCTCTGACTTCACCTTTTACCACCCTCCCTCTCACCGGTTCTTTGACTCCCGTGACGTCCGTTTCGAGGAGTCCACCCCGTACTTCGTCAGGCACCCAGGTCGAGGTCTCCCGGTTCCTCCTCCCCCCCTCTTCCTGACTGCCGCTCCCCCTCCTGCTCCCCCGGTACAGCCTCCCCCCCCTGGTCCAGCCCCGTCAGGTGTGTCCCAGGCTACCCCTCCTCCTTCGGTAGCCCCTCCGGTACAGCCTCCCTCCCCACAGTCCTCCTCGCAGCGTGCCGCAGGTGCTAGCTCTCGAGAGGTTGGTGCCGAGCCTGTTCCAGTACCGGTTTCTAGTTCTGGGGGTGCTGGAGTTGGAGCTGAGCCGGTGGGTGCAGAGGACTCTTGTCTTCCGGGAGCTGGTGCTGGTCGCGCGGACACTGGGGGTGCTCTGTCTGGGGGTGAGGGTGCGCCTCCTTCAGGTTCTGGTGAGCCTGGGTCTGGAGCTGGTGTTAGTGCTGCCTCTGGGGGTGGTGTGCCTGGTCCTTCGGGGGTGGACTCTGGAGCTGCCG